AGAGAGAGAGAGAGAGAGAGAGAGAGAGAGAGAGAGAGAGAGAGAGAGAGAGAGAGAGAGAGAGAGAGAGAGAGAGACAGACAGACAGACAGAGCAGACAACATAAGACGCCATCACCGACTGTTGTTGCTGTGCGCCACGGCATTGCCGTGGCGGGGTCCACTTGTTTGTATAAAATGAAAATGCATCGAAATTTATAAATTTCTAATTGAGAAATGATTCTAAAATGATATTGCCTCTACCGAAAATTAGGGACAGTCGTTTCATAATATTCATATCGTGGAACGCTTTTTTTTTTTTTTTTTTTTAATTGACTGACTGATTGCATGTCAATATACCAGGCACTCGCTGGTATCAGGCATCACTGGTATCAGCACTCGCTTTTTTTTYTTTTTTTTTTTCATATGCCAACATCATATTTACTATTTAATATTTATTGCAAGATGCATACATTGCGATAATTGTAGTATACTGTTATATATTATATATAATGTTGATTTTGTTAATTAAAGTTTAACAAACCTTATATAACTTAATAACGGGCATCACTGTTATCAAGATTGATTGTCAGCCTTTGAGTTGCTGGAACATTTCCTCAACGATTCGATTTGAAAAAAATGGACCATTTATTTTCTGCAAGTGAGGAGGATTTCATAGATGAGAAATACGATGAAGGAAGGTCATCAAGGACGGTGAATAAGGATGCAGTCGTTGCGTCGTCGTCGTACGCTCAACGGACGATGAGCTCAACTCATCACCGGAGGACGGAGGAGGTGTCATCGCTAAAACGACCGATTTTGGATGACATGTCAGAAGGGGATCCACGTGACTCGATGAGACAAGATTTCGGTTTGTTTCTCTTCTCTCTCCTCTCATCACAACCACTCCTCAATTTTCTCCCATCCTCTCCTGCCCAGCCTACCCTATGGTATCGTATGCTATGCTATCGTAGGCTATGGTATGCCATTGTATGCTATGGTTTGCTATAGTGTAGTATGGTATGCTATAATGTAGTATGGCATGCTGTCATGCGGTTTGCTATGGTGTAATATGGTATGCTATGTGCTATGCTGCAATATGCTATGCTATGCTATGCTATGCTGCATCTCTCTCTCTCTCTCTCCCTCTCTCTCTCTCTCTCTCTCTCTCTCTCTCTCTCTCTCTCTCTCTCTCTCT